TCCCAAAATAATAAAAATGCAATCAGCAAACTAAGATCACTGTGATATACATTTAGGATCTAGGTCATTTAATTATTTTTGCAGCATGATGATAAGAAATCCCAGGATTAGGTAGCTCCAGAGGCTACTGGAAGTCTATATGATATAATTTAGACGATTTTGGGAAAAATTTTAATTTCGCAAAATACCTACCCAAACTGCGGTTGGAAGAATCTTCTGAGGGTAGTCTAAATTTAGTCCAAGGAAGACCAGCTAATCAAATGAAAGTTTACCACTACTAAGTAACTAAAATAACAGTACCATTAAGAAGTATTGAAAAAGAAGATCACAAAACTGTGATTTGCTCGCTCGGCCTATATGTTCACTGGGATAGAATGATTCATAATTTGGAAGAAATATAATTTCTTAGGTTAATGGAAAGCTGGTAGATTTGGCCAGGAAGGAAGCTAATCTGGAAACAATTCAAAAAGGTTGGATCAAATATTAAAAGTTACAGGTGATAGAAGCGCATAAATAACGCCTATGAATATTGAGAAAATCAGTAGAAAAGCGGACTAAAATAATCAAGAAGTATAAAAGATTTGAAAGCGAATCAAACCCCTTGTCAAGGAAAGACAGTGTGACTTGGTCTCCCACGGCTTGCACCGTTAATATCAAGGTTTTGATAACAAATTTTTAAGTTGCTAAATGAGCGAGAATATCATAGGTAAATGGCATAAAACGTGTCGTGCTCGTGAAATTACAAACATCGAAAAGAGTTAAGTAATCAAATTATTTAAGTGTGGAAACAAGGCAAAACATTATAGTTTCCCGAGAAAATCTATTTTGGTCTACATTAGAAACAAAAAGGAATTTAGAGTATATTATGCGGAAGTGAATGCATGGGTTTCGGCTTACAAATATAGACATCCCTATGATGACTTAAAAATGTTTGTTTAACTCTTGGGAAAATGTATATAATCCAAAGTATTTAGAAAATAATGATCTGACAGGCTTTTATAAAATATGAAAGCCTCTACTGCGCAATCAGCTGGCAGGGCTGTCCAGCGCTTTGGGAACGTGTAAAAGAGAAAGAGCAGGCAACTGGAAGTAAAGATTTTACAAGGTAGCCTCCTTATATGACATCTCTTGAAAGATTGCCCTTTTGGAGTTTTAGGTGACCTTCCAAGATGTAATCGAGGGTTTAAAAAATATTGTTCCAGAAACGTTGGAATTTTTGTGTGGTGAATTACTTTGGATGAAATGAACTAAAATATTCTTCCTATCATAAAGCAAAGTCCAAAAAAAGGATGGTCGAGTGGTGGATTTGCCTCTAGAACGGCTTTGCAGCCAGATAATGCAGTTCATCCTCGAAATAACGGTAAAATGTTGGGACTTGGGTCTGAGAATTTGCCTCCACCTCATGTAGGTCTCCAACGTTGCTACTGTTAGCGTCAGGCAAGTGCGAGACTCGCTCTGCATCGAAGTGAGCATCACCAACCAGTCTTGGATGAGTAAGACGGGCACCCGGTGGAGAAGAGCCCATGACACCACCAGTATCTTTGGCCATGGCGGCCGATACAGCAATAGTGGCCAGTCGAGGAGGCAGCGCCAGCACCGGAGTTTGACAAATTGAATATATGCTGTTAGCCAGAGGCCAGCCGGCTGGCAGACGACCAGTGAGCGAATGACCATTGGTATTGAGACGCCCGACCATAGTGGCAGCAGTGTCTGGGCTGCTGACTGAAGCCGAGTCGGGGAAGGGCCGGAGGTGGTTGTGGCGAACCCAGTCCTCGAGCACACGATAGCAAAATCTTAATTGCTCCTGGGCAAACGAGTGAAAATTAAAGTGGGACTATGACGAATGTTAACAATGACAACATTAATTTAAAAAGATTAATCCCTAAACTGTAGACTTCCACAATAATCAAGTCATTTTTCAAACTCCAATAGACCCTACAGCATATACTTTAGTTTTATGTAGTCAGTTTGCCCAAATAGATTTAGTTGAATTGTTTACTAAATAACTTACTGAGAGCTAGTCGTTGTTGAGCTATAAAATTGAATGGGAATCAAAGTAAATAAATTACTCACTTTGATTAAATTAATAAGTTATAATTGAATTAACATTAGATAAATCAATACAACGCATCAATAGAGCCTGAGTCAGACAAGTTGACTCCGATGGCCTAATTACTAAGTAACAGGAGTGAAAACCTGTCATAATTTAAGACAGTTAGCGAGGGGCTGCTACATTCTGAATGCTATGCATACTGGTGAAAGTTTCTCTGAAACGGAAAGTCATGGAAACCGTGGAGAGGTAGAATAATTTGGGTGAAAGACGGACGAAGCAAAGAAGATGAGAGTATATTTTGCTTTGTCAAATCAACGTTCGCGTAAGAATGCATGTGAAGGGCATGATAAGAATTAATAGAGAATTTTTATTTTCAGCAATTGACCCAGATAGCTTAACTAATGATAACTAGTCTTACTGTCGAAATAAGCTTGCATCATCGTCCCATAGTCTCAAAGATGTGGTAATTATTACAAAATTCTTTAATGAAACCGATTAGGCACTGAACATAAGAACTAATTGAACGAAAATTTCTTAGTCCTTCATAAGGTTGGAAAGTTAGTTGAAAAATTCGTGATGCTGTTAGGTGGATTCATTCGGGTACTCGTTAGCCTTATTCTGTAGCTTCGCTATAAACAATAATTCGATTTAATATTCCAGAAATTTCCTTAGAGTCCGGATGGGAAAAAGTTTTTCTCATGTCAAGGATCTGTCTTCCCTTTCAACAGACTGAAAAAGTATTCCAAGTATAGATGGTTTTTTTAACTATAATTTGGGAATTGAGGATACCAGCAACTATTCTGCCTACAAGGAATTGAAGAGAACATATGCTTACCACTGCAGTCCAACCTGTGAATACATTTTGGGAAGCAAGGCTATGGAAAAATCAAGGCTTACTCATATCATTGTGGGAAGGTTTAACTACTAGTCCTTCATTACCTTAAACGAACTAGGGGGAGTAAATCATGTATATGATCTACTCGAAAACCTACTCATAAACGAAATTATTAAGTTTAAATCAAAGGTTTTCAAAATGATTTAAGCGACCAACGGTGACCAAAGTGCACATAAAAGATTTTTTGATAGTCTTTAAAAATGCTAACACAAATTATTAGATCCACTTCAGGAGCCTGTTTTAGTATTTGGTCTACACTACATTCATTCAAGGAGTTGACAAATAGAGTCTGTGTTCGAATCCTGCTGAGGCTAACCTCTCTGATCTAGTGTTGTGGATAAATTCAATAAATTTTTGCTATATTTACGCTTTTAATAATTTAGCTATTTATCTTATGAGAATATGTAAAAAATTGGATTTTTATGCAGTATTTTTCTACGCTTATTTATGACACATAAAAGGTTTTGACATGATAATTTATTTAGCTATCGAGTTGATTTAGCCTCTCCTATAGCATCACTGATTTACGATGCAAACGTTTAAACAGAAATGCTGATCTTTAGAATCTATCAGCTAGCATCTAGGCTTGACTGTTTTATTGGTCGTTGATAAATCAGCC